CTACCTGGAAGAAAGAAGACCAAGGTACAGTCCAAGAAGGTCAGATTCCTTTGAACACAGAGCAAAGCACAAAGGAGTAGAGGCTGGATCTGGAGGGACAGATGGGGAATTTCAGCTCCATGATAGTCCATGCTGCCCTGTCTGTTACCTCTGTTTTCCCTCCTTACACCTCTCCTGCCACTTACCCCCATTACACTCACTCATCTCTGTGAACACAGCAACAGGAAGGCCAGCTAGTTTCAAAGTAGCGTTTGGTCATGGAGGGAAATGATCATCCCATAGTTCTACTAGAACTCTCCATGAAAGGAGGTTCATATATAGCTCTTCGATTGTACAAATTGTAAATAATAATGATGAATAATTATTATGTGACCTCACATTTTTAATTAATTAACTTATTTATTTTTATTTTATGTGTATGAGTGTTATGCCTACATGTATGTAAATGCACCCATGTTGTGCAGTGCCTATGAAGGACAGAAGAGGGCATTGGATCTCTTGGAACTGGAGTCACAGATGGTTGTTAGCCATCATGTCGGTGCTGAGATTGGAACCTGGGTCTTCTTCAAGAGCAGCCAGTGCTCTTAACTGCTGAGCCATATCTCCAGCCCCATTTCTCTCATTTCTTATCATAATAGCAGACAAAACCAGCTAAGAGATGTATGAATTTTACAAACACACACCTACACACATATTTGGAGGCTGTTCATTGTTTGTACATCAAATGAACTCTTTTCTGATTGTTTTCTAAGATATTAGCTATCCTTGTTAAGCCTTTGTTAAGCTTCAAGCAGTGGTAATACCTATCCCCAGTATGAATGAATCCTTGCCTCTAAGAAAGTATGCTCTTATAAGAGAATGTAGTAGTGGTGAGTATGATTGAAATATGTTATATGCATGTGTGAAGATGTCACAATGAAGACTAGGGAGATGGATCAGTGGGTAAAGTGCTTGAGAGTTTGTATCCCCAAAACCCATATAAAAGCCAGATGCATAGCATCTGTAACCCCAGCTCTCTTACTATGAGATAGTAGGCAAAGACGAGAATCCCCAAGCTCAGGGGCCAGCTAGACCAGCACAAGCAGCCACACAACAGGAGACCCTGACTCAACAGGGTGGAAGTTGAGCACCAACATCCAAGGTTGTCTTCTGACCTCAACATGCATGCCATGGCATGTATGTACCCACACACAGCTGAATGCACACCATAGACATACACATACAGAAAGATAAAAAATGGAAAATGTCACAGTGAAACCCATTGTTTTGTACAATTAATATATTCTAATGAAAAAAAAAAGAATTCATGTGGTCAACTGAAGTTTTCTGAAACTAAAGATTTTGAATAAGGGATTTCAGATCCAAATTTTCTAATGGGATCTGTTTATGTCATCGAAGACATGACTGTTGGAACAGCCTCATAGTACCTTCTAGCACTATGAGAGCTAGCCATCAAAGAGGAAGCTTCCAGTCCAGTTCCATGGGCTGTTTCTTTTGCACCTCCATTGAATAGTATTGCTTTTCTTCGTGGCATCTACCTCAGTATGGGGAAGCTGGTAACTTGATTAATATCTGTCTTCAGGCCAGAAGCAAGTCTCATAAGTAATAGACAGTACCTCTGCTTGTCCATCGCTGAGTTCCTGGCCAAGTCCACACCCTATCATACAAAGAAGTAGCACTCCAAGCAAGCATAATCAACTGCTTCATCAATCTAGCCACCTAGATTTGTGCTCAGTTGCCTTATTTTGAAGACTCTGGTGCCATCATTATCACACTGTCATCTGAGTTGGGTTTGTTCCCTAGCAGCCTGTGTCTATATTAGAGAACATAGTATCACTCTGCATTATTTTACTTGTCAGTTTCTTGAGAATCTCAAAGCAGAGAGAGAGAAGCAATAGCTTCATTAACTTGACACCCACTATATCTGATACATAGTGAACAATATTCTGTAAGAGTTTCTAAATTCAGGTAAGATCCATATAACATGATATTTACCAGTTTATTTTAAACTGTCCAATTCAGTGGCATTTAGAACATCAACTATGTTGTACAATTATTAATCGATATCTAGTTTCAGAACATTTTCATCACCTCAGAAGGAAACCCTACATCCACTGAACAGTCACTCCTCCTCTTCTATCTCCCCAGCCTCTGGTAACAATGAGTTTCCTCTCCGTGTTTATAGATTTCCTTATAATAGATGTTTCATATAAATGGAATCATACAATGTGGGACTTTTTGGCTTGCTTCTCTAAATTATATAACATTTTGGAGTTTATACATTTGATAGTATCTCTCACTTATTTTTATAGCTGAATATTATTGGATTTTATAGATATATTTTATTTATTCATTCATCTGTTGATGGGTATTTAAATTGCTCCCACTTTTGGGCTACTTTGAGTATTAAGCATTCATATCCAAGCTTTGGTTTGAACATTTGTTTTTCATTCTTTTTGGAATGCACCTGGAAATGGACTTGCTGGGTGACTCTATTCTTAGCTGATTAAGAAGCTACCATCAAATTTTTTCCCTCAGTGGTTGTACTATTTATGTTCTCACCAGGAATCTCTAAGAGTTCTAACTGCTCC